AATGTAACAAATATGTGGTATGAGGGTTTGAGCCGCATATAGGTCTCAAATACGAAGTTTTGGGGTCTCTAGCAACATATTGAGCTGGTTGAATGTGCTAATATGGTTTCTGATTATTAGAACCAAAATTCCATGATTATATGCTGTTAACTCTACTTGACTTTTAAAACTTGGTGGCATTCTGCTTAAAGGAATTTCTCATGGTAGAATGGCTAAACCGGAAATTTTTTTGTTGGCTTGTGATCTTTTTGCTGTGAGTTGTGTGCAAAAGTTAAGTGTCTATCATTATCAAGCTTAAACCACTTCTTGAAGTTCCTCTGGAGTATGAAGTATGTGAGCAAAATTTTACTATATTGGATTAAGAATAATAAAAACATGTGAGCTAAGAGTGCTTTTAGTTGTTACTGTATTTATACTTGCTAAATCACTTTAACTGGAAGGTTGTTACACTTGCAATGCCTACCATTGTATTATTTCCCTCCCCCTTTAATCCCTGTGTTTTTAGTCCAAAATTACATCCTTGACACAGCTGATATAACTCGATTATGTTAATCATGCCTGTTCTAATTCTTGGCTTCTTAACTTGAATATGTAGATAAGCAACTATGCCAGTATTATTTTCATGGCTCTCTTCATATCCATTGCTGCGACTGGTATCCTTGAGATGCAATGGGGTGGCGTTGGGATAGATGACTGGTGGAGAAATGAGCAGTTCTGGGTAATTGGAGGTGCTTCATCACATCTGTTTGCTCTCTTCCAGGGTCTACTTAAAGTTTTGGCTGGTGTTAACACAAACTTCACAGTTACATCTAAGGCAGCAGATGACGGAGCATTTTCAGAACTTTACATCTTCAAGTGGACATCATTGTTGATCCCTCCCATGACTTTATTAATAATAAATATAGTCGGGGTTGTCGTTGGTATTTCAGACGCCATCAATAACGGCTATGATTCATGGGGTCCATTGTTTGGTCGGCTATTTTTCGCCTTCTGGGTCATTATGCATCTCTACCCCTTCCTCAAGGGATTACTGGGTAAACAAGATAGGATGCCCACCATTATTTTGGTTTGGTCCATTCTGCTGGCCTCGATATTAACTCTTATGTGGGTTCGAGTCAATCCATTTGTGTCAAAAGGTGGCCCTGTGTTGGAGGTTTGCGGGTTAAATTGTGATTAGATACATGAATAAAGTCTTAGGGGTGGTTTTCAGTTCCAGTTAATTATCTTTCTGGAGTTGCAGAAGTATTTGTTCTTCCGATTACAGACATTTCATGCTGTTTTCCACATTACCAAGAGGAAATTTTGAGGGATGAAGTCTATAGTTTAGGGGGGTGTGTAGATAAAGAGGGCCGGGGGACGACACATTGTTATTTGTTCTATTAATTCTTTTATTACATTCCTGTTGGTTTTAGGGTTTTTCCTTTTTTCTTTTTTGGGTCCTCACTCGTTCTTGCTTGTATTCTAATTCCTAAGAGAGCATTGCATTATTATTTGTTATATTCCCTTGCAACTTTGGGGGTTTCATACAAGTGTCTTAAAACGAATTTCTTGTTCACTTTAGTTCTTGTTTTGAGGTGGAGTTATTAACGTGATGCAAGTTGTTTACTTTTCTCCTGCCTAAATTTTGTCATGCCATCTTCTCAATCTGTGGGTGTAGGCCCTAAATTTTATTGGTTGAAAATCCATTAAAACCTGTTTGAACATCACTGCCACAAACATGGCTGCTACAGCGATTTTTAGTTTCGTGATAAAGTGCCAAGCAGAATCAGACGTGATCGCCAGTTCTCCAGATTAATCCCTTCCACATGACTTTAGCCCAAGCAATAGTGGACCAAGTACTATAGGTCCTTTTGGAATTTGGAATTTGGTCCTGCTGACGGATCCTCCAACTAGCCTTGGCAAGCATGCATTGCCTAGTTTCTCTCTCTCTTTTTTTAAATTATTTAGGGTTAACTACATAAGATCCTCAAATTTTCAGGGTCATTTCAAAACCCATAAATTATCATTATCAGTAAATATTAGATAGAAACGACAAAAATTGGGAGAAGAAAATTTTTAGTGAAATTTTAGAAGATGTTCATTCAGTCAATCATCTATTAGTTTCAGAAACAAGCATTCAACGAAATTTACCGCATAGCACTAGGATCCCACCCAAACCCCACCACCACCTTACCACTAGCAGCCCCAGCACCAGCATCACACGAGGTTACTGGTACCACCACCATCATTAACACAATTTACCAACCACCATCACTGATTTATAGATTGATGCCTCTGAAAAGATTAACATCAAATTCTCTGTTTTAAATTTCATACTTTGCTTAGGGCTCGTTTGTGACTGCTTTTCTAGGAATTACTTTTTCTCATAAGCACTTTTAGAAAAGAAAAAAAAAAGAAAAAAGCTTTTATTGTAAAAACGTTAAAATTTTCATAAGAAATCCAAATGCTTCTTGAAAAAGCATTTGAGAGTGCTTCTTGAAGAGGCACATAGCATGTCCTTCTTGAATAGGCACATAACATGTGCTTCTCTAGAAAGTGCTTCTATGACTAAAAAACACTACTAAATTTTTTTTGTCAAACGTTGTCAGAAACGCTTTTGGCTATCATGCGCTTTTAGCCCTTTCAGTTTCAGAAGACATCCAAACATGCCCTAGCCAAAGAAGAAACTGCACAAATTCTAAAACATTAATTTTCATAATTTTAAATTCCACATTTTGGACATAGTATTTCCTCATCAAAATGCAAGGTAATAGAGAGTTGTTGCAGCATGACAGGACTTGCCCTCGAATTCTCTCTTAGAACCCGAGAGGGAACTTGTGCATCTCCAACATCTGATAGATTTCAGGCCCAAATACCCTTAGTTTTGTTAAAAACAACTTAAACCATTGGACTTTCGCCAAAAATCCAACATTCTCCCCTTGTACCTGTAAATAGAACATTACCCAAACCTTACACCTATAGGAAAAACACAATACTAAACTCCCAAACTTTCAGCATGCACAATATTAAATCACACAATCCAACAAGAATCTACCAAGTCTCTAGCCCCTTACACAACATGAGCATATCAGAGCAAATAAATCTAAAGTTAAGTTTAGAACAAGGAAAGGGAGTTTACACCCATTAATTCTTTGATTTCCTTTCTTTCTTAATAAAAGCTTCCTTTCTTTTTCATCTAAATCCAAAAAAAGTGTCATGAATGAGAGAGAGAGAGAGAGAGAGAGAGAGAGAGAGAGAGAGAGAAAATAGTTAGAAAAGTTAGAGAAGAAGACATCTGGTTGAAATGCGAATGATGGCTTGGAGAGTGACGCAGAAACAGACTTTGGTTACCTAAATGCTAAAACCAAGCTGAAATCAAGGAGAGAGAAGAAAAAAAATTGAAAAGATTTGAAAGGTTTTGTCATTTTCAATGTGTATTAATTACTTTTAAGAAGTGAATTTTTTTTTTTCTAAATGTAATCCTAGCCTTTCAAAATTCTTTAATCTAATGGTTTAAAATATAAGTTATAATGTGTGTCAAATCAATAAAACAATTGAAGTTGAAACTAACAAACTGAAGTCGATGCTAACAAACTAAAGCTGACGCTAACAAGTTCAACATACCCTTTGATAATCAACTCATAACTGTACTTAACCTCACCAAACTGTACTCAGGGAAGAGCTGACCAACCCACATGTGCAAAGTAATCTCGATGTATGTGCGGTTGAGGGATTGGGGATGGGGATAAGCTATCCAACCACATAGGGGCGGAGCTAGGATTCAATGTTTAGGGGGCCATAAGCTGAAATTTTATCCTTTTCTTTATCTCCTTCCATATGCTATAGATATACCGAAGGACAAGGCACTTCTGGCCTAGCCTCCCTTTCGCCTTTGCAGCCACACAGGTTGTGGTGGGGGATCAGGGATGGGGGATGAGATGTCCAACCACATAGGATGGGGGATAAGCTGACTGAACTAGTTGGTCATTACGTGCGTAGATGACGCCTAAAAGGCAAGAAATCCTGACACATCTCCCAAAGAGTTTATGTGTATCTTGCTGGATCCCAAAGACTTGAGTATATATCACTATAATTGGGGTAGTGTACTCATAAGGTGAATTGGAAACTACTTTCTCAATTCCAAAGTATAAATAAATATATATATATATATATATATATATAAGCTTATTTGAGGGACATCCTTTAGGGTCCCCTATGAATTTTTTTTTTCCAATGATCTCCAAACTTTCTATTTTTCAAGTCTTCATTCATAGATCATCCTTACATAAAATCGGACAAATTAAAAATCATTAAGATATCTAGTTGGGACCAACAAAATAGATGAACATGGTGATTCAAGAAAAGACTATAATAACAACCATATAATTGAATGGTCAAGTCATTTCGGATTCAAGTGATTTTTTGCAGAGATGATCTTTGAGAGAATATCTAAGACCTAGACGGTTTAAATAATTGAAATACAATGTGTGGTAGGCCCTACAAGAGTGTTTCTCAAATAAGGACACACTTGTAAAAAGAGATGATTAGTAGAAAATACATGGCGTCTGCACAGTAATAACATCTGGGCGTCCCCACAGAAGAAAAATATAAATAAAGAACATATATATAATATATTTTTATGTATAGACATGTGGTCATAATGAAATCTAGAAATCATAATAATCAAGAATACTTTCGAAAAACTCAACTCAAGTATATATATTTAACCATATAATAAACTTATAAGGATTAGCAATGGATCATGGGTGATCCAGGAGGATCTTATAATAAATATAATATAATATAATTGATATAAATCAATTATATTATTTAATCCACGAATAATTTGTGGCTTAAAAGAGAATTGTTCTTAAGCCACCACCTTATCATGGCTGAAGTACGTAGGAGCTTTTAACCACATAATTTTTATGGTTTAACTTCATCTACTCATTTACTTTAGTTATTTTTGGAAGCCAAAACTTGTATAAATACGTAAGTTATTGAATGTAATAGATAAGCAGAAGTCAAAGCAGTTCCTTTGCTTCTTCCTTTTGTTTCTCTAATTGTCTTAAAATTCCTTTCGTTCTCTTATTCCTATAAACTAGGAATTCATAGTTCTATCGACTAGAAGTTTTGGATCAAGTGGTATCAGAGCACCAGATCCAAGAGGGTGACGGTGGTTTATGGTCTGAACTTGCAACCATCGCAAAGCTTCTGGAGAAGAACTTTTAGGTCCTTTGCTCATACACCAAAAGTCAATGTCCAAGAGAGACATTATGACGGGAGAAAACAAACAGGATACATCTAGTGATGGCGATCGCATCATTAAGCTTGAGCAAAAAGTTGAAAACTTGTCCTCGTCAATCCTTAAACTCATGGAGAATTTGAAGACTGGAAAACCTTAGCATCCATCAACTTCATATGAGCCTGATCAAAAGTTCAAGAAAAAGGTTGTTGAGGATAGCAAAGATGAAGACGACACACAAGTTGATCCAACGAAAAAGGAAGCTGAATCAGGTGACAACAAAAATTTTCTTGATACCTTAAAAATTGATTTTAAGGTTGATATCCCTATATATAAAGGAGATGTTTATAATGAAATGTTAGATAACTGGATAGACACATTAGAAACTTATTTAACCGTTTATAAGTATTCTAATGCACAAAAGATAAAATTTGTGAGTTTGAAATTTTTAAGCCATGCCCTTACATGGTGGACGTCCTATCGGAGATGATATGATGTCTCATAATTGACTTGGAAGAACTTCAAGATGCTTTTGAGAAAATAATTTTATCCAATTGGCTGTGAGATGAAAGATGGCATAAGTGACAACACTTCAGACAAGAATTTGGGCAGCCTATACAAGAGTATACATCAGAGTTCCATAACCAAGCTATGGTTCTGGACATCGAAGGCAACAACTACGATGTTTTCATGAAGTATACCGAAGGTCTTGCATACTACATATAGAAAGAACTAAAATTGTTCAACATAGATACTTTTGAAGAAGCTACTATGAAGGCCATCACCATTGAGGGGCAAAGTAAAAGAACTGACAAAAAGGATAACAAATTAAAACCTGTCAACAAAACTGACTGGCAAAAAAAGGGAAAGCAGAGCTAGGAAGGTTAGACACAATAAATCTATTGTGATCACTGTTAAACCAGCAAATATGCCAAAGACAAGTGCTGGATACTCAATCCTGAGTTGTGGCCAAAGTGAGAAAAAAAACAACCAAGGGAGAAATGACAAAAAGCCACTTTAATTGCACAACAGGTAGAAGAGCTTCCAGAGTTGAAGCAACTTGATGTTACACTTACCCTTATGACAAGACCATCAGATACTGAAGACACGTATAACCGTGAAAAGTTGTTTCTGTTCACCCGTTTTGTGTTTATTCTTGAGATGGAAGGGCAAAGTTCCCCACTGCCTTGGAAACCATTGACTGGTCAACAAGTCAGCTTTCTTTGGTGTATGAACGTGCCACTACTAGCAATAAAGATTCTAGCAGACTTCTTTAAAACCGATAACTTGAGCCCCAAGTTACTGATTTCTAAACAAGCGATTATGAATTTGGGTGAAGAATATCTCCCAAATAAGTTCTTTTTCTTGCCTCAGACTGGTGAAGACTTCACAATTTATCTCAGTATAAAATTGGTAATTCTGGCCAAAGTAATGGATAATAAAGTGGACTGTTTTAGACAGAACTGCTCTTTACAGAGCTACAAAGGAAGAAATCAACTCTAGAAAAGCAAAAAGAAAGCTGGAACTCTATTCCTGTCTGTATAGAAGCTTCTGATCCGGGCTGAACTGGGTATGTCTGGGCTAGACTGGACTTTCAACAACTTCAGTTGCTCAGTTTCAGCTGTAGATGGATACCAAAGTTCAATTTTGGTAGAGCTTTAATCTACTCCAAGCTTTGGGAGGCTTTTGAGCTGGCAGAACTGCAGCTTTTTCAGTTTGAAGGGACAGAAGTGGCTGTTCTTAAAAACCTAATGAGCTGGAAACTGCACTGTGAAATTTGTTGAGGTTTTCATATTTGAGAAAACTCAAACTCTGCTTGTCTTGACTTTTGTTGAACCAAATTTGTAACGAGAGAGATCTCGTTTTGAATGACTTATTTCTTTAAGTCTGAACTTTGGAAATTCTGATCTAAAACTAGTTTTTCTTGTGGTTCAAGTGAGCTTTTGGTTGATTTTTTTGGGTTGTTTATTTGATTGATGAAAATTGAGTGTGTCGATTCTATTCACCCTCTCTTGTATTTATAAGGAAATGCTTTGGAGTAGGGTTTCTTAATTTTAATAATGGGCGCCAAAAATTCTCAAAAGATCTTTTCATTTTTAAATGCAAAGGAAGAAGAAAAGTTTTAATCAATTCTGGCAGATAAGCTCTCAACAGTCAGTTCTCAAGATCACTTCCCTGTTTTTCCTGAAAGAGAACCTAACCCCTTTTTAATTTCCAACTGCCCCTTGTGAGAGCTCAAACTGTGATGGTTAGTTTGATTTTCAGTTTGAACAACTCTCTGTCTTCCTGCTTATTTCTTTTTGAGAATATGACCTGCTTATTTTTTGGGAGAATCACCCTTTTTTGGAGTAGAAGAAATATCTCTAAATATATTATACATAAAAATAGGGGTTTGATCTTCTGATGGTAGAGATTTTAGAGAGGTCTTCTCTTAGTTTGCCTGCTTTTGATTAACATACTTAATCAAATCAGTTGAAAATGTTGACTTTTCAATGTCAGAGAAAAGAGATTTCACATGGGCCTGTTTTTATTTTTCTTCTTTCTTTAATCATGCTGGGCCTGCTCTGATTTTTCTGGAATCAAACCAAGGGCTAGCTTGCTCTCTTCTTTTCAAGGACCAAGTTTTTATTTTGTCACCTTTTGATAGATCCTGGGCTGGGTTCTCTTTGGATTTTTGGGCTTTTGATTTCCTGTTTATTTTGCAAAGTCCGAATCTGGGCCTGTAGTGTTGGGCGGAGTGTATAATCTTGGCCCAATTCAAGGGAACGTTGGTGGCTGGTAAAAAAATTGCTATGGACTTTGTGACCTTGGGCTGGGTATGCCAAATTAATCCCAAACAGTTTCATGTGAATATTCAGGTGAAGCAAAGTGTTGTACAAGCTATCATTAACCCTAGAAGTCAGAAAAACCTGATTTCAAAGACTTTAGTAAGAAAAGTAGGTTTAGACACCACACCGCATTCTAAGCCATACCCGTTAGGATGGATTCAGAAGGACATTAACTTACAAATCACAAAGCAAACGTACCTTCAAATTTGCTATCACCAATCGATATATCGATGAGGTGACATGTGAGGTGGTTCCTTTAGACGTTTGCCAAGTCATATTAGGTAGTCCATATTTATGGGACCGAGATGCCATTCATTATCGAAGGCTCCACAAGTATCAACTTGTGAAGGATGGGAATGAGTTTCACATCAATGCTTGCAAGCCTCAAGCAACAGATAATTTGCTGATAGCTAACCAAGCCAATAGGTTAGTCAATTCATGTGGGCTATTCATTTTGTTGATGATTCGACAGTAAGATCTGAATTCTGGAGCTGTGACATTGTCTACTTTGTCTTTATCTCCTACATAATGCTCAAACATATGGAAATTGCAAGAGAAGTTCAAGGACTTATTTTAGGATGTGCATGGTTTGCCACCGAGGATAGCTGTGGAGCATGATATCTAGTTGGTAGGAGATTCACCTCTACTAAACTTGGGTTTGTATTGCACTTCTTTGACAGAATCTGACGAGATCAAGAAGCAAATTTAGGGACTTCTTGAACAAGGAGTCATGAAACCTAGCTGCTCATCATGTGGTTTGCCAGTGTTACTTGTGCCTAAGAAAGACGGAGGCTGGCGTTTGTGTGTTGATTATAGGACACTCAACAAAATAACCATTAAGAATCGATATCCAAATATTGCCAAGGATTGATGACATATTAGATCAATTATATGGTGCTCGTTACTTTATGAAGCTATATCTAAAATTCGGCTATCACCAGGTTCGCATCTATGAAGAAGACACTTGGAAGACTACTTTCAAGACAAAGCAGGGACTCTTCGAGTGGTTAGTCATGCCATTTGGGTTATGTAATGCTCCAACTACATTCATGCAATTGATGAATGAGGTATTCTGCTCTTTCATTGATGACTTTGTCATTGTATACTTAGATGACATTCTCATATTTAGTGTCACATGGGAAGACCATCTTCATCATATTGCTCAAGTTTTGGAGGTTCTACGAACAAATCAATTACAGTTAAATAGTAAAAAGTGTGAATTTGGGAAACATTGTATACATGAGATTCATTGTTGGTGCAGGAGAACTGAAAATGGATCTAGAGAAAGTACATGTGATTTCTCAATGGCCTACACCCAGTTCAGTAACTGAAGTTCAGAGCTTTATAGGTGCATGTCAATATTTGCGAAAGTTTATTCGGCACTTTTCACAAATTGTAGCACCCTTACATTCTCTTACAAAGGCCAATCAAAAGTTTGAATAGTCAAGAAACCATGAAGAATCTTTTCAATTGTTGAAACAAAAGATTATAGAGGCCTCAGTACTTGCATTACTGAATATGCAGAAACCATTTGAAGTGGAAGCAGATGCATTAAACTATGCCATGAGAGCAGTATTATTTCAGGATGGGAAACCAGTTGCATATCATTATGAGATGTTTAGTGGACCGGTGTTGAACTATATGACTTATGACAGGAGTTGTATGCAATGCATCAAGCAGTGAAGCATTGGAAAGCTTACTTGTTGGGAAAAGAAGTTATAGTTCACTTAGATCATAAACCTCTTCAGTTTTTAACTACACAGTCTAAGTTGTAGTAAGCTCGCGATATAAAATGGATGTCTTGCCTACAACAATTCAATATTATAATAAATATGATATAATATAATTGATATAAATCAAGAGTGGTGATTTCCCCACTCCTTTTTCTCCTATTTTATCCACTTACACTCCTTTTTTATAACTAAAAAAGGAGCGTAAGTGGATAAAATAGGAGTGGGGAAATCATTGCCCTAAATCAATTATATTATTTAATCCACGAATAATTTGTGGCTTAAAAGAGAATTGACCTTAAGCCACCACATTTTCATGGCTTAAGTACGTAGGAGCTTTTAAACCACATAACTTTTATGGTTTAACTTCATTTACTTTTTTACTTTAATTATTTTTGGAACCCAAAACTTGTATAAATACGTAAGTTATTGAATGTAATAGATAAGCAGAACTCAAAGCAGTTCCTTAGATTTTTCCTTTTGTTTCTCTAATTGTCTTAAAATTCCTCTCGTTCCTTTATTCCTATAAACCGGGAATTCATAGTTCTATCGACTAGAAGTTTTGGATTAAGGAGTGTCTCAAAGCGTTTAACCATATAAGTTAAGCAATAGCATCAAAACACTAGTATGCAAGAATCAATTGAAAGCTTATTTAAACCAACAAAATAACTCAAATCACCCAAGATAAATATTTATAAGCAACTCAACTCGTCAAAATCATTTAGAAAATGAAGTCCACTCACAAAAGGTTTGAAGCTAGCTCAATTTTGAGTGGGTCCGTCTTGAGAAGTACATGGAGCGTGACCATCTAATCCAATAGATAGAGGTGTTAGATTCAACAATTATGGAACTGAAACATTAAAATGAAACCCTAGTTTCCCGGAACCCCAAGTGTGTGTGAAACCTAAACAATGACATCCGAAGATCATCTCAGGTGTTCTCAAAGGCCAAGGTGGCCTCGGAAGACATCCGATCAACCGAGACGGCGGGGCACACCATCTAGGTCAATAAGCATGAGGGGCCCACAATCTGAGAATTATGATATGAAGTAATGGTGTTTTTGGTGCGGTAACCGCACCGATGTCACGCAACCATATACTGTCCGAAACCATGTGGTATATCCAAAACCAGAACCACCACCGACCCAGGAAGAAGAAGAAGAAGAATTCGATGAAGGAAAAAAAAAACTCAGAGAAACCAGAGAGAAGAAGAAGACGGCGATGGAGCAAAAGAGAGGGTTAGGGTGATTTAGGGTTTATATATGGTGACGGATTTGGGCCTAAAATAGTATGGGTGGGGGGCTTTTTAGGCTTACAAGAGGGGGCTTTTTGGGTTTACAAGAGGGGGCTTTTTTTAGTTGAAAAAAGAAGGAATATCGGCCTAATTAAAAAGCCCAAAACTAAAATTAGCAAAAGTTGGAGAGCGTAGGGTTTGAACTCCAAACCTCGAACTTAACCATGATTCCTCTTCTTCTTCGTCTTCTTCTTCTTCAAATCCAATCCAACTGTCGTTCTCTCTCTCTCTCTCTCTTTCTCTTTCTCGACTCTATCTCTGACTTCGCTCTCTCTCCTCCGTCTTCATCTCCATCTCTGTCTGTCTCTGTCTCTCTGCCTCCCTTTCTAGACTTTGCCTCTATCTCTGTCTCACTCTCTTATTATGGGGATGGGGGTGGTCGGGTCTTGGGGGAGAAACAAAGGGAGAGTGGGAAAGAAAAAAAACAAAGGGAGAGAGCTGATATGGGTTACGGGTGGGAAGTTGCAAAGGAAGTTTTTTTTTTATAAATAATATACTCGGTCGGTTGCGGTAGCTGACGGAATTGATCTCGAGACACCGCAACCGTAACGGGTACTGATCGGTCCGGTTGGTCAACCACGTTGACCTTTTGGTCAACCTCGGTTTACCGGCCGCAAAAGTCGGACAGTAACCAACGGTTTGAAGTACTTTCGGTCCAATCGCACAACACTAATATGAAGGTTCCTATGCGTCAAGGGTCAACTATGATCCACTAAACACACCTTAGAAATTTGTTCACAAACGGGTGGATTAACGTAGCTTGCACAATCAGACGGTGATCGACTAACTAAACCCTAGAATCGTCGATCTGAAAGATCATATGGTCCTACACACTTTTGGTGACACGAGGAGTGACATATTTCGAAATGGGATTGATCAAATGGTCCTATTGTTCCTGATCAAACGACCCATATCAGCCGAAACTCCAATCGTTGATCAAACGACTGGATTTCCCAAATCCAAGCACACTGTTGTCCATATTAGGCAAAACTCCAATTTGCCACGCAATAACCGACTGTGGCCGTGGATGTTCAAATCAATTCCTAAAACCTCAAAATTGATAAAATGCACCTACATTAACAAGTAGAGCACTATGAGAGGATAAGACATGGATCGACAGAAATCGTCACCAGAATCGTCGGACATGGCATTAGAAAATCTAGAAAACTGATTATCTTTCGAGCCCTACACTGGATGCTGGGAGGCTATGGTGAAGGTGTTGTCAACTAGGAAGTTGTTCCTTGTTGAGAGATGAACAAAACTAAAGAAGGGGCCATCAACAACGGAGACTTGTATCGGCCGGAAAATCAATCGGAATGTGGCTGGACTGTGAGGTTGGGTTGTGCGACACCATGACTTCGTGGCCTTTCCTTATCGTGCGGCGGCTGGGGAGGCGAGTCATGCAGAGAGAGAGAGAGAGAGAGAGAGAGAGAGAGAGAGACTTTTTAGGGTTTTTTTTTATAAATAATTTTTTCAAAATTGGCCTTGCATTTTCGTTCACCATAACTGTCCGGTTATAATTCCGATTCACGGCACTATTCGTGCCTATGCGCTCATGGAGATGACTCTACATGCTAGTGCAAAAGAAATTCCAGGATCCAGTTCCCAAAAAGAAGGAGGGTCGAAAATCTGAGTTTACACTAAAATTTTGAAGATAAAAAATGAAAATCCAGAATGGGTTGTTACAACATTGACTCAGTTCCTTCTCGAAAAGTTCAACAACATCCATTCTGCACAGAGAATTTCTATCTACAGACTACATATATGTATATATTCAACAATTCAACAGTGCAACAAATCGTCCATAATAATGTGAAAACTAAATGATATATGACTAAATAATCATTCACCTATAGACTTGTATTGGTTGACTTGTATTGGTTTAAGTTCATATCTCAACTAACCCTACCATGACTTACATTAAACTTAACATTTATAAGAGATTGAAGGACCTTAGTCAATTTGGTGGCGTTCAATTCAACCTTTCATCAATTCCATCTGGAAAGCGGCTTATTATGGGATGTGAAACAATTCCTATGGTGGACCAGGACAACAACACCCGTCTCTGCAGTCTCCTTGTTTACCTGTTTTTAGTCTATGTTGACTAACTTAATCAAAGCAACCAAAAAAAGAAAAAAAGAAAAAGAAAAAAGAAAAAAGAAAAAAGGAAACGAATTTGGTTTTATTACTCCATGATTGGTCAAGAAAGCAAGTCAATGTGTTGTTGAAATCTAAATCCAACCGCGTTAAATGAGATGTGCACTTATAAGATTGATGGGAAGCTATACACTATAACAATATAAAAACATATAAAATATCAATAAAATCCACGTAAGCGAAATCACATCTTCCACCCACCTCCATAGGACCAACGCTGCAGTTTCTTGCTTCCCTCTCTCTCCCTTCCTTCAAAACTCATACAACACGTACCCGCAAAACACGCTCTACGCCAAACCCATACAACCAACCAATAAAAATCCCAATATAACCACCCCATTTCTCTTTCTATGTCTATTTTTTCAAACCAATTCTCTTCAATGGAAAAATCGTCTCGAAAAACCGATCGGCCCGATAAGGCCATGACCGAGTCGGAGTTGGCCGCGGCGCAGCAGCTGATGCAGCTTAGCGACGAAGATAACAACAATAACAGCAGCAGCAGCAGCAGCAACAAGAACACTAAGCACGAGGGTGAGGAGGTTGATCAGAGGCCGTTGATCAATGTGATCATTTGGGCAAAGATGGAAGAGATTTTTGGGAAAGAAGAAGATGTTGATCGGCCCAAGAAGCGAAGATACCGGTCTCTTGCGAGTATTTATCTGACGAGCAAACCAGTGAATGCAGGATCAGCACATGGGAAGAAGGTGAGGACATTTTAAAAGGAGAAACCCTAATGGGAATTTTAGCCACTTAGCTAGGAGGAGAAGGGGATGGGATTGGCTTATCTTAGTTATAACATCTTTCTTATCAATTGCTTTTTTGTACCAAGTAGAGAGATTGGGCTTTCCCCTTGCTTAATTGCTGCATAATATTTAGTTTAGAATGAATTTAACTTGCCTAAAATAATATTTAATAATTAGTGTGTGTGTGTGTGTGTAGCTTTTCCATGATTGTTTGTACATAAAATCTGTGCTTTTTCTTAACCCTTCTTGCTCATTAATCCTAATTTCTTTTAGTCTTACTGCAATGGAAACTTGAGGGATTGGGTCATTAATAATCCTAAATAATTAAATGTTTCTAATTAATATTTTATGATAGACAATTGTGAATAATATGAATGGTCTTAAAATCAATTGACTAATGAAAACTTTCTTGCAGGAAAACTTGACTAAAATCTTTATTTTAAGAACTGTAAGTTTAAACTAAATAAACTTGAATTGAAATAATAAAATACTAGGAATCGAAGAACTTGACTACACTAAGTGCTTGAAAGTAAAAACGTACACTTGATCATAGCAAATTATTATTTGAATACAGCGGTGGCGGCACATTTTGGATGGCTGTAGTACTAATTTTTCGTTTTGTTTTGGGTTGAACCATTACTGGGTTTGCTAGTGTACTCAGACGAATGTTGGGTTCCAATGGAGAAGCACAGCCCTAATCCATAATTAGTTAGGCATGAGTGAAACCAACTCCATTTAATATAAGGTGTTTTTTTCCCAGAAGAAATCGAATGTTCCAGAAGGCTGGTGTTCAAATTTGTGTATGGTTTGTTTAGTTGAGATTCTTAGGCTTTCGTCGAACTTGGTTCATGATATGTTCAGCTCGAACTTGGTTCATGATATGTTCAGCAAACCAACACCAAACATGTAGAGAAACGTTCTGATGTATTCCCCTGATGTGCCCTGAAATGTGATCAATTTTAAGCCACATCATATTTTTTCGAATAACCATAAACACTTAAATTAAACTCCCAAAATACTTTGTGTTGGTCTAGCCTAATGAAAAAGAGCCTTAGTCATGTGTGTGCGAGAAATTTCCTTCTTCATTGTCGTTCAGACTATTGCTTATTAAAAAAAGAATTCCTAAAATACAAGAATTTATGAAAACAAGGAAAATGAAGTTAAATGACACTTGTGGTTTTTTTTTTGGCGCGGAGAGGGAAGGGGGGGGAGAGGGGGTGAGAGGGGCGGCGGCACCAAAATGTGTTGTGTGTGGGATTAGGCTGCTGACTAGGTGATTTTGGGGAAGGTGTATAAAGTTTAATTAATAGGTAAACTTTTATTTGGTTTAATTTGGAATAAAATTAATGAAGTTAAACTTAAGTTTGAGGCTGGCCGCATGGTATTCTCTTTTTGTTTTTATTGTTTTTTTAAATAAAGACGATAGATTGTATTTATAATTCAAGCACAAAGGTAGTTAACCATAAAAGTCAATACAAATATACATAACCACACAAGGTTAAAACAAATATGGAAGAGTAGTAACCACAAAGGGTTAATCCAAATACGGAGGACTCCACCGGAAATATCAAGCGCACGAGTGTACCTCCACAAATAGCCATAGAGAGCCAAAGAAATTTCGACATAAAAGTCACAAGCTTGCAGAAGTCAGGCATAGACCACAACGCACAAAACGACAACTACAAACTACAATCTTTAACTCTCACAAGTAAAAAATTACAAGTAGAGGCTACAGACACGCAACAAACTCAAAAAGAGTTGATGCAGTTATTACAAACAAAAACCAAAACACATGAAGCAAATCAAGAGCTGGAACCCGAGATCCTCAAAACAACCCAACAAAGGCAGCCATCGTCCCCAAGAAAATAAAAAACTAGAACCCTAAATCTGCAAAAAAGAAAACAAAAGCAAAAAAGAGAAAGGAGAGGGAAAGTGAGGGGAGGGGAGGGGCGGGTAAGAAGGGAAGGGAGGGGAGGGCGGTTGGGAAGGAGAAGATGAGAGGGCAAGAGAGAGAAAAGTAGGTGAGGGGGATTTGTGCGCAATGGCGAACCTACGAAGGGGCTCAACTACGCTTTAGCCCAGTGCTGGTTTTGTAGTTTAGTCTTAATTGTACAATAAAATCAACTACAATTAAATATTAACCCACTTATCTTTTAGAATTGAGCCTATCCTAGCCACCCACATCATATATTTTTTTCTTCTACCTACTGAAATCCTACCATATTTCGTACTAAAAAAAAAAAATCATACCATATAATATTAATCAGCCCAAAAAATCCAAGTTATGAAAGATCTCCCAAAAAAAAAAAAATTTAGCCCATTCCTAGAAAAATTTCTAGGTCCACCATTGTTTGTGAGTCAAAGCAGAGAGGCGTGGACGAAGAGAGGAGAGAGAAGGGGGGAGGCTTAAGGTCTGGGCGGTTAGAGAAATTTTTTGTTTTTATTGTTTAGATATGATAAAAGCAGAAAGAAAATTTTATTGGTACCTCAATAAAATTTGGCTTGTTCTTATCACAATCTTTAGTACACTTGTTTTAAGGTGAATTAATCAAACTACAAAAAACTGCAAATGATTTTTCCTCATACATACCTCATCAAATCAAGTCACATTGTTCGTTACAAGCAACATTACAGAGAACTCCAACCAGCAGCTCCACCATGTTATAATTCACAAAGTTCAAGTGCTTCTGGAAAAAAGTCCTCTTCGAGTTTCTGCAACCAGTAGTCCTTTGGGGAAGACGATGATGAAGTGGATGCGCAAGGAAATGGGTTGGTTCGGAGGAGGTAGAGATTGTTCTGGTGCTGTCTCTGAACCAAGGGGTCTTTGCGATTGTTGACATAAAAGTGAACATAGAGCCGACATGAGCAGTGAGAGTCATCAGCCACCTATATTCAAAAGAGAATATTATGGTCAACCATTTATACCTATACACTTAGGCCCCGTTTGGGATTGCTTTTTTTGGCCAAAAACCTGCTTCACTTTAAAGTTAAGCAGTTTTAGGTGTTTGGTAAAAATAAAATATCTCGATTATTTTAAAAGCAGTGGCCTTTTGACAGCAGCTTTTAAAAGCAGGCTATGGGTTGCTTTTCAAAGCTGCTTTCAAAAGAAGCAGAGATGAACCCTTAATGAATTTTTTTAATTCCCAAAATACTATCATTCATTTTAAAAAATAACACCACCTCCACTTCCACATCCAACTCCACCACTTACACCACAACATTCACTACCTCCACAACCACTGCCATCGCCACCGCCACCACCACAACCACCACCTCCTCCACCACCACCACCACAACCACCACCACCAACTCCACCTTCACCTCCACCACCACCACCACCACAACCACCACCTTTTTCAAAACCTCCACATCCACCACCACCTCCACAACCAACACCACCACCACCACCATGCTGCCACCTCCACCACCATGCTGTCACTACCACCACCTCCACACGCGCCATCCCTAACCAAACACGGAGCTGCTTTACTTTACAGTTAATTATTTTCAAAGCACAGCAGAAGCAACCTTTTTTAAAAGTGACAGCATTCTGGTTAATATGATATGTTACAATATATCTAAAGCAAGATAAGAAGCTCAAATATACTTAAGAAAACTAAATTGATTAGCAAAAAAATTTAACCAGAATGCTAATACAGAATTGCAAGCCATAACGATTTGTGGTGAGGATAAAAAATAGGAAGATTCACCATTATACCTGATATAAGGGCTCAAATTATAAAAAATCATTACACAAAATGGACTTTAGAAACACACCCAAAATCCATTTACAACAGAACAAATAGGCTTTTAATTTACGGTTTGAATCAAATGAGAACGCTTATGTGAGAACCTTATATGAGAATCAATCTCAACCATCCAAAATAATCTAAATGGCTGAAGAGAAAAAGCAAGATTAACGTTGAAATGGGTACGCTACACTTACCTCTTAGCCCACGTGTCATGACGCGCCTTTTCCAATCGCGCCTTTTTTACTTCCTTCCTCCGCTTTTACCAAAGAAACCCTAAAATCTTTAGTAGATATGGGGGAAATATCCAACCCTTATCTTTCTCCTTCTCCCACGTGTCTGTATCTTTCTTCCTTCTATAAATTCTTTCTTGAAATTTCCACCTCAAAATCTCACAACCCAAAAACTCCCACATTCTATCTGTTTACACCATAATCAACCGAGCATGTCCAGTCTCAAAACAACTAGCACCAAGGCAGACACGCCTTCTCTCCTGCCGAAGGAAGACACTCTTCCGAGGTGTCAAGCACCT